TTTATATAAATCAAGAAAGTATAACAGACCCATTCGTTAGTAAACAGTCGAAGCCGTATTGCTAAACCGATATTGCACACTAAACGCACTTGACATTTTTTGCAATCTTCAATAGTATCGGGTAATCGGATTCCAAACATTTAAATGAAAATGAATGAATGATTATTTACAATTTTAAAGGAGAGAAAAAGTGACACCAATAAGATTTCAGTTCTAAAATCATCAAGTCGACAGATTTTCCTGTTTGACGGTCCTGCAGATGTTTCAGTTTTAATTTTTTGTCATATTATCCATCTAATGGACAATAGGTTAAGCAATTTGTAGATCGTCTTTTCATTTATGCACGTAAATTTCATGTATGCGTACATAAACTTTTGTATTTTGTGCATAAATTTTAATCACAGTTGAATTTTAATAATGTGAGAAATGGGTATTCCATTGGAGTTCACCATAAAAAATTCGACTTCTTTCTCCCAGAACATTTGCACATCATCCACTTGAAGTTCATCAAGGACTATTTAGCAGCATTTCAAATTATGTCGTTAATTTACTTGCAGTCTTTATTGGAAAGTTATCTATTATAACGCACTTATTTTCAAACTTCTTAATTTGGTGACTATTCCAACTCATTCAATCCTAATAAATCTCCACTCGTTTTGCGTATTTATAATAAAGTCAATTTTTGAACTTACTTAGGGAATTTTGAATTCTTTAATTACCATTTTATTTATCACAAGTACACATTACCGGAATAAAATCAGTGCAATTTACACCTTTAGTCTCAAGTCTGTTTTTATACTTACTAGGTAGTAAATTATTTCGTTAGTAGAGAGATTGAAACCTTTTTCTTGGGGTATAACAGTTGACCTAATATAAATATTTAATAGGCAGTAATTTACATGATTTATGATAATAAATCCCAAGCCAATGAATGCTTTCAACCCCTCTTCTTGGGCAGAGGAAGTGGTGGCACTTCACTGCGAACACTAAATTGCTAAACCCGTATTAATTAGCCAAACTTAACTAATAGTCGTGGTCTTTGCCCTCACTAATTGTGCGTCGATGGGCGGCGATTCTGTTGAGTCTGATTTCTCAGACAGGCCCATTTATCATTTGAATGTTTTTTATTCAAATTGTTAATTACACCATATTTTAAGTGCATAAGATGTAAGATGTATGTATATATGGATTTTCTGTTTTATATACACTTATTTCCAAATTCAAATAATTAAAAATGGTGCCTTTGGTGCACATTTAGACATAATAGCATGCATGGAAAGTTAAATACCTCATGCTTGTCAACGAAAATATTACATCCCATCAATTAAGATAATATATGTCCTCAGAATACTTAAATTTGCTTTTGAAGATTAAATTTTTTGACTTAATTAAATATTTTTGAATGCGAAATTATGCATTTTGCCATTGTTTATGTTTTGAGTAAGGCAATGAATTGTGGTTCAAAGTGATCGTTCTCCGAAAGTGATTTTCGCTTACTTTTGGATCCCGCTAAAGCAATTTTAGTATTCCATGAACCGAATTCTACTATGAGACTTAATAGAACCACAAGCCGCATTTCATGCATCTTTCAAAACTGCGGATTACTAATTTATAACCTTCTCTTCCAAAAGCTATATTGATTGCGTATAAACACCGTGATAAATGTTAGTTTGACCTTGATGTGTGCTTGTTAGCATGAAAGATCGAGTAATCTACTTTGGTTAATGTTGTCTTATAATATATAGTATGTTAGTTAAGTGACAAGCAAATAGAATTTTATAAAAATAAGAGGAATTTAAGACAATTTGTCAAACTTAAACAGTGACAACAAATCAATTTAATCTACTTTTACTAAGAAAATCAACTTAAATTTTATAACCTGCTCCTCTATATTTCAAATGGTTTCTTAAGAAATCTGAGGAAAAGTTTGTTCGGATGTAGATGTTCCTAATTTCTAGGCGATTTAATAATAGAGAGGACTATTTATTTCCCCGAAAATGCTGCAATTTTCATTCAATTTAATGTAAGTCACAAATTCAATTTCAAATCGATCATATAATGGGTTGCCAATTATTAACCATTTTTAGTACAAATTAAATTAGTTTTAACCGTTTGTCAATTGTTAAGAACATTTGATTGAATCGAATTTATTTAGCTAAATCATCTATCTTGCAATTCAGCTGTCTTACCTAATTTGCCATGGTGATGATACTTCTTGAAATAAATTGGACTGTAACTACTTCGTTGCTTAAGGGGCGTGCGATAGACTTACCTCCATGTGGTGCACTCTGGACAACGTATACTCCTAGGGCAAAAAAGTATATCAACCGGCAATTGACTTCTGACTTCAAACTAACATGACCCCAATGTATTAGGTTGGCAACTAAGTCATTGTCGATTTCAAATAAGAAGGCCAATTCGGAATTTTTGTTTAAAAATATAACTTTATTCAATTAGATATTGGCCGCTCTTGTCGATGACCTTTTACCATCGTTCTAGCAGAGTAAAAAATCCCCGAACGTAAAATGTCTGGTCTTTGCTATTAAAAAACTGAATTAGGTGTGATCCGACATCATCCGCGTTGTTAAAAATTTTACCATTTAAAGAGTTTTGCATGGAACGAAACAAATGGTAATCCGAAGGCGCAAGGTCAGGGCTATATGGTGGGTGTGACAAAACATCCCAACCCAGTTCCAATAATTTTTCCCGAGTAACCAAAGATGTGTGGGGGGGGGGGCCTTGCGTTATCATGATGGAAAACAACACCCTTCCGATTTGATAATGCCGGCCGCTTATCTTCAATTGCATCCTTCAGTTTTTCGAGTTCTTCAGCATACACGTTTGAATTTCTCGTTTGGTTCTGCGGCATGAGTTCAAAATACAAAATTCCTTTGTGATCCCCCCACCACACTGACAGCATAATCTTTTTTGGTGAATCTCTGCTGCTTTTGACACTGTTTGGGCTGGTTGATCTTACTTCACCCATGACCTCTTGCGAGTAACATTGCTATAAACTATCCACTTTTCGTCGCCAGTAACTAGGTTCTTCAGAAATGGATCATTCTCATTGCGTTTCAGTAGCGGCGAATCACAGATGCTAATCCGTTGCGTCAAATGAATTTCCTTTAACTGGTGAGGGATCCATAAATCAAGTTTCTTGACATAACCAAGGGTTTGTAATTTTTTTTCAATGCATGTATGCGACACATTGAGCTTCTCTGCAATATCTCGTGTTGTGCTGTGAGGATTTGAATCGATAATGGCCTTGATATGGGTTACACCCACTTCGACTGGGCGCCCAGATCGTTGTGAATTTTTCAGTGAAAAATCACCGGAACGAAATCTTTCAAACCAATTTCGACATGCCTTTCTTTTAAGGCTTCATCTCCATATATGGCACATAACTTCATTTGTGCTTGCGATGCGTTCTTGCCTTTTTGGAAGTAATACAATAAAATGTGTCGGAAGTGCACGTCCTGTTCTTTCATTTTTAAATTGGGATAAAAACAAAACTAAAGAACTAAACAAAAAAAATTTTTTACTAATTAACCTAGAAGCCCATACAGTAAGAAAAAAATATAGGTTAGATGCTCTGGCCACGTTAACAAGACGAAAGAAAGTACAGAGTGAATCTGTCAACAAAAACGGCAATGACTTAGGTGCCAACCCAATATATCATATCCCATAACTTTCACAGTACTCATCTCACCTTTTCTCTACCTTAATGTCTGTGTCTCTTCTACATCTGTGAAGCACTCTTCTGCCCCCCCCCCCCCCCCCCCCCTCCAATTTTATCCACATTGATGTTCCTCCATCTGGGAAGCCCGAAGTCAGCTAAATCCCCAATGATAACTATTCAAAACGTCTGCCATTTGAAACAATACTAATAACATTGTTGCATAAAAGTGAAAGTATTTCTTTTCCAATAACCATGGACAGTAACATGGGAAACTGTTGACCTTTGTTTTTTTATCGTCACATTAAACACAACATCAAGGAGCAAATTACATTTACAAGAATTTTCAATTCTAGCGAAGCATTTTGAGGATCATAACCTAACTAAAGCTAATCATTATGCACACTACCCTCATCAAAACGAAGGAACGAATCACTTATTTTCAACGAAGTAGCAGGTATGAATTTAAATCTTGTTCTCTATAAGCCAGAATGAACGCTACTTATCAAGCTCTATTTCTCGTGTCATGAACTTTCACCTCAGATAGAATACTAATAAAGTGCACTATTTACTACAGCAATGTGTCTACCTATTTCGAACTTTTTCATGTGTTGAATTTTGTCAAGAGAACTCCCATTTCAAGGATGTATTCCAGTTTACCACTGACCAGCTAAATGTGATACCTTGAAAAAAAGACAAAGATCATAAATATACGTAGGATTTAGTCATTTGAGTGGAATATTCAATAAAGGAATAAAATCTTTGCAAGCAAATTATCTTTTTCCGCTATTTTATATGTAAGCATTGTTTCAACTCGTTTATTCACTTGCCAAAAGATAAATTCAAAATTGATAATAAATTGTAAAAATTGAATTGTCTTAAAGCGAAAACATGAATATGTAATACACAATATAATTAAAATTCACCTTAAACAATCTAAATGCAATATATTCTTTAAACTTGTAAAATGTTGAAATGTTTGATTTCTTTCAAAGTAAAACAAATTTGCGATTAACTCAAACCGTAACCCTATACAAAAGAGCAGTTATTTATAAACAGTTTGTTCATGAAAATCTTTAAAAATAAATATAACTCAGCAAAACGGATCAGGATTCTTTATTAAATTAAAACAAAGTAATGGTTTCATCTTCTTCAATGAGAAGAAAATCAAGGTCAGATCTAAGGAATGCAAAGCATATGAATGCACCATGTACTCAACAGAAATACAGGTTTTAGATCAATACACCGGTGGGTTGAAATATGTGGATTGAAAAGAGTTATGTCTCTGTATACAAAAATATATTATACACAGTTAATCGGGCACTTATGAATTACTTGCATGCAACTTCAATTCCGTCGAGAGTGATGTTATGGTGGCGGTTCCCTCCTTAACTGCCGCTCTACGCTGTTCTCTGGTAATAAATGGAAATGGATCGTCCCTTGTGTAAATTTTACCACGAGAGTGACTCCAAGTTTGACTGTTTTGAACTATATTACGAGAACCGCTATCCGAATGTTTTGAATCCCTACCAATTGCAGAGGTCTGATCTATACTGTCCTTTTGACAACAGCAGCTGCGAAAAAGTGTGGCCACGGTCTGACGAAAGGACGGGGTAAATATCGCATAAATACATGGATTAGCAGCACTGTTAATGTAGTAGAGATATAAGAGTACTAAGTTCATTTTTATCCATCCATTTGCTATGATTAAAGATGTCACGAAGGTTAGGATATAGACAACGGCAATAACAAAGAGCATAATGGCAGACCGAAGATTCTGGAAAGTAAAATGGGCCTTCTGACGAAATCTTGATGGAATACTGGTTCTCCTATGGCGAGAGTCCTTACCATTGCTGGAGGATTTGCTGTCATATGCTGATTTCTTTCCACTTTGTCGATGAATTGAAACTGAAACCGAGAGTTTGTGGCTGCGAGAACGGGTTACAACAATTGCCCAAAATACACGTGAATAAAGGACAATGACGATGAGGATACTTGCCAAGAAGCATGCATGATTGAAGTACTTAATAACTCGTGAGAGTCTCCTTTGAAGATGGCTAATACCATCAATGAATTCAATCTCATCACAGATATGCTGAACGACTTCTCCATCGTCTTCCGTTTTTATGCCAACAGCACAACCCGCAGCAATCCCCACACCGAGCGAGAAAAGAGCCAAAGTTGTCCCAATAACTTTCGCTCTAATCAAAGTTAGGATATGCTTCAAGGAATGACATATAAAGAGATAACGATCAAGTGCCACTGTTGAGATTAAAAGAGAAGAGAATGTTGTATTGGCCACAAGGAATACATAGAACATCTTACAAAGCAAGTCAATGGATATTCGATATTTAAAAAGCTCAATTGTAATTGTAGAAGGAATGATGATAACACAAACGAATAGATCAGATATAGCTAAGACGAGTACAAAAAAGTCCAATGTCTTATCTCTACCAAAGGCTCCCATTTCAGCTTGATTTATTTCACTGATACGTTGTTGTCGACGATATCTTTTCCATCGAGAGTTTCCAGAAGAATTCTTGATGCAAAGTACCGAGATAACAAGAGCATTTCCGATGGTGCCAATAATGATTACAATAGCCATCATGGCTACCGCTTGGTAAATTTCTTCATCGGCAACAACGACACTATTACTGGAAGTATGATTATTTAATCGAAAAGGTGGGGCTTCCATTTAACTGCCGAGGTCATTCCATATACAGCTAAAAATGCAAAGCTTGGTGTTACTTTGTACTTCCTGACCTTATTTAACCACAAATTCCGGATTGGTCAATTAGCACTGGCCTATTAGATCTGGTGAAGCACCTGCCAATCAGCTGGTACCTAGTGTATGGATGTTACGTGTTAATTGGCTACGAAATTTAAAAATAACTCATTTATTGGCAATAATCCTTTTAAAATATGTTAGAACTAAACTATCTTTCAATAATTATTATCTCACATTATAGATATTGATAGAAAGAATTATCGTTGAATTAATAAAACACATCTTCAAATATTCAATTTTAAAAATGAGGAAGATTCTTTTATAAACTCAACGATTTCATTGACATATAACGAAATTTTTATATTTTTCCATTAATACAAATCTTCGATAAATAAAGTGATGTAATCTGAACAAAGGCGAACATTTTCTTTTCTGAAACGTTAGTAGCTACAATATACTATTCTCAGACGATTCTGGCTTCCTAAAACGGTTAAACAAACAATCTCACAATCATTGAAGTGGTCGAAAATGGCATTATGTTACCAAAGGATCTAAGTTTTCGTAATTCATAGTTAAGAAATATTATTTCATCTTCCAAATCCAACTCTTTTTTATTTTGAATATATTAAGTATAGAGGACTCAGATAAAGCTAAATTTTAGGCCCAATCTTTGTAAACGTTTGTAGCATTAAGTTACCACCAGGGAAACCAGTCTAAACTACCATCTACCATACCAAGCCGACTCAAGAATGAGACTTGAATTAGTACATAAATGTCTAAGAGTCTTTTCGTAATGGGAGGGCGGGTGAGTGAGTTATTGTCGAAGAATGACAATGAAATGCTTTAACATCTGCCTTTGAGTTGATATTCCACTAAGAGACAGGTGATTAACGAAGTGAAATCAGGCAAAGACGAGACAAACTTGCGTGGACAAAAACAAGGTTGCAGAAAAACAGATTAGAGGTTGTTTACGGGAGTTGGTTCCGTATATCAGTTTTTTAGCTTTAACTGAAAATCGAACGAAAATTTAGTTCTTCAATATGTTTACCGTTTCATAATTCGCATTAGTGTCTACAGGACAAGACAATCAATAATTAGTCTAGGTTTACAGTGTTTGGAAAACTGAATAAATTGTACTTTGATAGATTGAATTCTGCCATTTTAAGAATGTTATTTTTGAACTGTCTTTTAAGAAGTAGCTTGTATTGCGGTCAGTCTACGTGGTTTTTAACTTATCAACAATGTTTGCCTATTATTATAAAGGCCTCTTAATAATCTAATAACCAAGACTTTCATTAACTTGAATAGAAATTATAATTGACCAGATAACTTCACTTCAACTTCCCAATGACTGGATTCAGATATGAAATAGTGTTTGCATTATAATATGAATCTACTAAATATCTCACGTTTGGAAGGATTCGTATGCAGACTAGGTAACAAATCTGTTAATATGGTTGATCGCGAATGAATTCAAATAGCTCAATTTCTCAAATTTGGCACAAAGAAGATTACCAATTTGGTATGAGTATAATCATTCGGTAAACAACTTTATGCAAAAACGACTAGCAAAAGTGCGGTTTCTGGTCATTACTATTAGCCACAAAGATTAAGGATTAAAGCGCATTTCTCGAAGACAATTTTATATCTATTCATGTATTATAATGATAATAACAATACTTCTCAAACCCGTTTAGGGAAACGTGTATCAGCGCACATGTTGAGTAGAGATCAACATTAAGAAACGTCCTTGGTGAGAGATTCAAGGTCTGTTACCCTACAAACTGACAATATTTAAACGGTGTGTGCTCGGGGGGTGGCAAATCTGCTTTTTCTGACGTCTTTAGATTACAATAATGTAGTCTATTCTTCGATAATTTAACAAATTAATTACGATTATGTGATATATTGCACTGAGATTAATCTTATTTATTGTATAAACTGCAATTTCTGTAAACAAGAAACGGAGTTTTTATGTAATTATTTTAGACAAATTAATTAATAAAATATATAAGAATGGTTACCTTTTAATAATTTTAAAAGTAATATATGGCAAATAGAAAATGTTAATGCCCTTTTATAGAATGATATGCCCAATTTCTTATAATGAAATATTTTGATCTTTTGCCTTGAAATGAGAGTGGAAATTTTCTCTTTCGCTGCAATGAATGCCTCACATTAATATTCATTTAAAAGTTTGTTCAAATTGACGAACAAATTGAGGAGCACAAGCAGAGAGGTATTTTTTGCTTATATCCCAGCTATTCAACAGTTCATTAAAACGAACGGTTCGTTGACTATAAATGTTTTCCTTGCTTTTGAAGGTTCTTGGTGCAAGTAGAGAAGTGAATTTCAGTTTCTAATGGAAGATAAAAACGATTTTAACTTAAATGGAGAGCATGTTACGTATAACTTGCCTTTCAAATAGAAATCGATCAACGCAGTTCACACGAATGTCACATCACACTGCTTGATTTTCACACAAGGATGAAACATACCGTAAAATTAGGTTATTCCAGTCTTGAACCCTGCGATTTCTTCTAAAATCTAAATGCACTTGGAACGGCTATATCCACAAAGTTCTCATAGTCCGAACAATTGGGTGCATTTCCGAAGTAAAACTTTGACCCAAGGGTATCTGATTTTCAGCTTCTTTCGATATTGGTTTTCAAGGACAGAATTTGTGCGCTCTCATCTTATGTTGTTTCCCAGCATACAAACAAGTTCCATCTGATGGTGCTAGTTGAACATTTAAAAGTCCTAAGCTGTCAGTTGACATAGGGTAAAATTGGCAATTAGTAAAACTGCACCAAATATTTGAAATCATTTGTTATACTATTTGAATGTAATTAAAGGAAACTTGTAGGATGAATAAGCACAACTCGGTATTTTATTGATAACTTTTTAACATTGCAGAAATAAATATTTTTTTGGCTAGAGAATCGACGAATTTAATTTTGCTCTTATTCATTATTATTTAAAGGAATAATAAAAGAATATTAATTTATTTATATCAAATGGCGGGCTTTGTGAAAATCATCATTAGCCCTATAGTCGACTTCGGGGTTCACAGAGGGGAGGAATAGACAAAGTCACAAAAAGTGGAGAGTGTGAATAGAAGTGTGATTCACAGATTTAATAGACGCAGTCACAAAGGAAGAGAAAAGATATGATGAGTACTGTGAAAATGGTGGAATATTACATACAGTGGGATCACGATTGTTTGAATTCAGAAGTCAACTGCCGATTTATAGGCATTTTGCCCTTATGAGTATGCGTTGCCTGGTGTGCACCATGTGGAGGTAAGTCTATCCCACATCAATAAAAGAATATAAAAAGTCACTGTATAGTGTAATAAAATAGAGAGTAAGCAGAAAGCTGTCACTTAGAAAATCTACCTATTTTATTATTTAATTACATAAAAAAGAAAGTGGCACAATTAAGTGAACTTTGAATCTTAATCAAAAAGGAGCAAACAAATAAACAAGTTTGTTATGCAGTTTTATTTTTCTTTCTTGATGATGATTAAACATATTTGTGCAATTTTCAGATCATTTAAATTACAATGGCTTTTAGAAGAGCAAACGCTCCAAACGTTTATTTGCGATCCTCTAAATCAAATATTGTAAAAATTTTAGGTTTCACGTGGGCTGTTTCAAACTTAGAAAGAGAACGTTATTATCTCTTATGCTCTGTTGAAATTAGATCATTCTACGTTCTCATCATTTGTGAAAAAGATGAATTTCCTTGCAAAATATCATAATTAAACAGCAGATCAACTAACTTTGGACGTCGCAATTGATGACGAATCATCACATTTGTAAGTTGAAAATGAAACTTTCAGTTTTAAGTCGATTCCTAAAATCAAATAATGGCAAGATAGCATGAGTTTTAATCGTATTCAAAACATTCATTTGTATTTATTGTGTTGATTTCACTCGATCTCCAACAATGAAGCATTATAAATGCTATGGAAGGTAGGCGATAACTCAATTAGCAGAGCGAAGAACTGTAGATGCGATTAGCAGAGATCCTTGGGTCGGTGGCTCAAATTCGTCTAGCCGGAACTCATTATCGGGGTGTGCGATAGACTTACCTTCACGTAGTGCACCCTGGCAACGTATTCTCATGCGACAAAAAAGTCTATTAACCAGAAGCTGACTTCAGCTGACTTTCAGAAGTTCATCAGGTTTTAAAAATGCAAAAACGCAATTGGGTGTAAGTTTGCCTTAATTGTTTACTTATTGAAAATGTGTTTCCGAACTTTAACTTGAAAATGTATTCTAAAAGTTAGGCATTTATATTAGGCTTCCAGAAGAGGCACTTACTACAGAAGTGTAAAGTTCTGCTCATAATTTGCAAAGCGTATATTCTTTTCAATTTCATAGCTTTTCAAGTAGTTTGAATGCACTGAAAAATGATTTTTTAATTTTGAATAAAAATAGAAGTGTTTTGGTGAGAATTTCTTAATCAATGGTAAAATTTACCATTTTAGGAAATTTGCTTGAATTTTTATATATTTTAATTTTGAAATTGTGTCTAAAAAAATAAATACAGTAAAGTAGAGTATGAATCATTTTATTAAATTATTTTGATTGATTTAAATATATTGGGATGTGTTAAAATTACTTTTACTCTCATAACATGACATAACTGGCAAATGAGTTCACGCCACTCACTTAAAGCAAGGCATTTAGTCATCCAGTTACCAAATATTGAAAACCCATCCTGAGAATATGTATTCATTGTTTAAATTAAGAAGTATCTCACTGATTCCCACCTTTCATTTGTAAACCCTTTTCCGCCTTTAGCCACATGGGTATGGTGCTGAAACATTAAAGGAAGGCATTCGTGTGGCCTTGCTCCAAGTTCACGAACAAAATTATAATTTTTAGCGTTATTATGTTTTTAAAATTGCATCTTTTTGAAACCATTAGACAATTGATCATATTTATTTATTTCAAATG